ATTAGATTCAGACACATTTAGGGATTCATATACATAGGATATGTCCTCTTGATCAACTGATCGCTTATCATTATGAAATAGCCCCCTTTTTCCCTGGTAATATTCCTTGTTTTGAGGTCCACTTTGCCCTATATTAATGTAGTCACTCCAGTTTTATTAATTAGTGTAAATCTTTTTTTATTCATTTTCTTTTAGCATATCTGTGTCTTTATTTTTCAAGTGAGTTTATTCTAGAAAGCACATTAAGTCTTGCTTTTTAATATAGTCTTACAATCCTTTCCTTTTAATTGGAGGATTTAGACTGTTGATTTTTTTCTTTTGTTTTGTTTTTAGCGATGGGGTCTCACTCTGATGCCCAGGATGGAGTACGCTGGCATGATCATGGCTTAATGCAGCCTCCATCTCCAAGGCTCAAGCAATTCTCCACCTCAGCCTCCTGAGTAGCTGGGACCACAGACAAACGCCACCACACCTGGCTAACTTTGCTTATTATTTTTTTAGAAATGAGGTCTCATGATATTCCCCAGGCTGGTCTGGAACTCCTGATCACAGGTGATTCTCCTGCCTTGGCCTCCTGAAGTGCTGGGAATCACAGGTGTGAGTCATTGCATCTGGCCTAGACCATTTACTTTTAATGAAAATAACTGTTGTGTTTTGTTTGTTTTGTTTTGTTTTTTGATACAGAGTCTCGCTCTGCCGCCCAGACTGGAGTGCAGTGGCATGATCTCCAATCACTGCAACCTCCACCTTCCAGTTCAAGCAATTCTTTTTCCTCAGCCTCCCAAGCAGCTGGAACTACAGGCATGTGCCACCATGCCCGACATTTTTAGTAGAGATGGGTTTTCACCATATTGGCCAGGCTGGTCTCAAATTCCTGACCTCAAGTGATCCGCCTGCCTCGGTCTCCCAAAGTACTGGGATTACAGGAGTGAGCCATTGTGCCCCACCTAACTTTTTATCCTAATAAAAGATGGTCTTACATGGAGTTTTAGTAATAGCTTTCCAAATATTAAACAATGTAATTTCCCAATATTAAATCATTTTAAGAACACACTCTATTTGTTCATGGTGTGTTATTCTTTTGATGTTCTGATGAATTTGTTAGCTAATACAGTTTTTAGGATTTTTGCAGCAATATTTATAAATGCGATTGATTTTCAGGTTTGTTTTTTTTTTTTGGCCTTTTTTTTTTTTTTTTACAGGTTTTAGTATCAATGCTATTAAAAGAATTTTGAAGATTTCCTTCTATTTCTATGTTCTAGAAGAATTAAAATAAGTTTTGTTCCTTAAATGTTTGGTGAAGCTCTCCTGCAGAACTAGGAGGACCTAGTGCTTTTTGAGGGAGCAGTTGACGACTCGACTCTATTAAGATTGACCTATTAATATTTTATCTTTCTTTTGAGGTAGTTTTGGTAAATTTTAATAATAAGATTTCTTTCTTTTTTCTTTTTTTTTTTTTTTGAGATGGAGTTTTGCTCTGTCCCCAGGCTGGAGTGCAGTGGCACAGTCTCGGCTCACTGCAACCTCCACCTCCTGGGTTCAAGCGATTCTTCCGCCTCAGCCTCCTGAGTAGCTAGGACTACAGGCGCGTGACCTAATGAAAGCTTCTGACCTCAGTGATGGCATCAAGATTACAACACCCCAGTAATACAGGATGTACTTTTTTGTGTTTGCCTTTTTTCATTCTGTCTGTCTGTCTATCTATCTATCTATCTATCATTTATCTAGTTAGTTAGCTATTTTTTGAGATGGAGTCTTGTTCTGTTGCCTAGGCTGGAGTGCAGTGACGTGACCTCAGCTCACTGCAACCACCACCTCCCAGGTTCAAGTGATTCTTGTGCCTCAGCCTCCCTGAAGAGCTGGGATTATAGGTGCCCGCCACTATGCCTGGCTAATTTATTTATTTATTTATTTTGAGACGGAGTCTCGCTCTTTTGCCCAGGCTGGAGTACAGTGATGTGATCTCAGCTCACTGCAACCTCCACTTTCTGGGCTCAAGCGATTCTCCTGCCTCAGCCTCCTGAGTGGCTGAGATTACAGGTGCCTGCCACCACACCTGGCTAATTTTTTGTATTTTTAGTAGAGACGGGGTTTCAGCAGGTTGGCCAGGCTGGTTTAAAACTCCTGACCTCAGGTGATCCACCCACCTCAGCCTCCCAAAGTGCTGGGATTATGGGTGTGAACCACTGCACCTGGGCCAGTCAATCTGTTTTGACGTTCATCCATGTTGTTGCATGGTAGGCATAGTCTTTGAGTAGTAGTTTGTTTCTTTTTATTGGCAAGTAAATATACCATTGTATGGATATACCATATGTGAACAGTGGAGCACTTGAAGGGAGCACCGTAGCCCCTTTGGCTCCTTCTGCCACATGAGGACACAGCGTTCATCCCTTTATGCCTGTCTTTTTCTTCCATCATGTGAGGATACATTTCCAATGCTATCAGTGAGGAACAGGCCCTCACCAGACACTGCACCTGCTGGCCTCTTGATTTTGGACTTTCCAGCCTCTACAACTGTAGGCAATAAATTTCTATTACTTATAAATTACTGTGGTACTTTGTTACAGTAGCAGGAACTAAGACAGGTTTTAATTTGCATTTCCCTGATGACAAATGATGTTGGATATGGGCTTTCTCATATGCTTATTGGTTATTTGTATATCTTATTTTGTGAAGTGCATGTTCATATCTTTGCCTGTTTTTTGGCTGGGGCGTTAGTCTTTTTTCTTTTTTTGCCCAGCCTGGAGAGCAGTGGCACAATCATGGCTCACTGTAACCTCTGCTTCCCAGACTCAAGTGATCCTCCTACTTCAGTCTCCTGAGCAGCTGGGACTACAGGCACAAGCCAACACGCCTGGCTAGTTTTTGTAATTTTAGTAGAGACTGGGTTTTGCCATGTTGCTCAGGCTGGTCTTGAACTCCTGGGCTCAAGTCATCCACCCGCCTTGAACTCTCAGTGTTGAGATTACAGGTGTGAGCCACTGCACCTGGTCCTATTTTATTAATAGTGTTTTTTTGTTTTTTTGTTTTTTTTTTTTTTAGACGGAGTCTCACTGTTGCCCAGGCTGTGGAGTGCAGTGGTATGATCTCGGCTCACTGAACCTTCCCTCCCAGGTTCAAGCGATTCTCCTGCCTCAGCCTCCTGAGTAGCTTAGACTACAGGCATGTGCCACCATGCCCGGCTAATTTTTTGTATTTTTAGTAGAGGTAGGATTTCACCATGTTAGCCAGGATGGTTATCTGCCTGCCTCGGCCTCCCAAAGTGCTGGGATTATAGGCGTGAGCCACTGAGCCTGGCCAATAGTGTTTTGTGATGAGCAGAAGTTTTAAATTTTGATGAGGTCCATTTATTAATTGTTTTTAGGGTCCATGCCTTTTCTTTTTTCTTTTATTAGAGATGGAGTCTCTTTTTGTCACCCAAGCTGAAGTGCAGTGGACCGATCATAGTTCACTGCAGCCTTGAACTCCTGGGCTCAAGCAATCCTCTGCCTCAGCCTTCTGAGTATGTGGGATATAGGCTGATGTCACCATGCCTGGCTTTTTTTGTATCCTTTCTAAAAAATCTTTGCATACCTCAAGATTTAAAAGATACCCTCCTGTTTTCTTCTAGTAGCTTTGTCAATTTTCTTTATGTTTAGGCTTATGATCTCTCTTAAACTGTGTTTTGAATATGGTGTGAGGTAGGGATTGGGTCCCTTCACACACATAAAATATCTGCTTGTTCCAAAACCACTTCCTGGTGCTCTTGTCCAAAATCATTTGACTCTGTATCAGATGGTTCTCATTATCACTCCAACACTAAGCATTGCAGCTAAAAATGTGTCTCATGTGGTCTCAGACCAGTGGCATCACATCACCTGGGAGCTTGTTAGAAATTCAGAATCTAGCACTACCCCAGGCTTACACAACCCCCTAGTCAGTCTCAGGCACATTACATTTTGAGGAGCAATGGTGTGGATAATTTTTGAGGAATGAGGGGAAACATCATCATGACATTTGCTGCCTCTCACAGCCTCCCCATGCACAGCCTGCGGGGCCTGCCAACTCATTTTCCCTGGTTGCTGTGCAGGGCTAGATTTACGTCCAGATTTAACCTCTGGGTCCACCTCTCCTGACATGTGCTGTGTTGTTCTTTGCTGCTGGGATTGAGGGAAGGGCGCCCCTCACTCACCCACTCTTCGCCTTCTAATACCCACAACCACCTGCTCACTCACCCAGCAGTTCCTATGCTCTCCACCATACACATCCTTCCACCCCAACCTCAGTTTCCTCAATTGCAGAACCAAAATAATAATGGTCTTGATATCAGGGGCCACGGTGAGGAATTGATCTGAGGAGTACCTGGGCATGGGGACAGCACAATGGAAGTCAGTTATGGTCATGGCCATTTCAGAGCTCTTTCTCCAGTAAAGCCCTTGGATGCTGGTCGCCTTTGCCATGCAGCCCCACCCCGCCGCAGCCGGGCAGAATGGAGTCCCCCTTCTCTCCAGCCGGACTTCTCCTTCCCTGCTCCGAGCCCCCAGGGCAACGTGTACCGATAAATCTTTCCCAGAGCGTTGCATTGTTACAGCAAGTTGCCTTCGCATCCGACCGCCTCCCCCCACCCCGCCCCGGCTCAGGAGATCCTCAAACGTAGGATCTCTGCCTTGGTCGTCTTTGGAGACCCGGCCCCTGGCACAGCGCCTGGCACCTGGAGGGAGCTCAATAAATGTTTGCGAAATCGAATTATCTGTTGAGCAGGTGTCCACCCCGCCATTCGCGGAGGGTGGGTCGTGCGGGCGGAAGGAAAGGCTGGTTGTGTGCCAGGGCGGGGGGACACTGTCTGGGGGCTCAGGGAGCGGGAGAGTGGGAGGGGGTACGAGCCCCGCCCGGGGGGCGGCAGTGCCAGACGCGGAGGGCGGCCTCCGCTCCTCCCCCGCCTCCTCCCCGCGCCGCGCCTCCTCCGGCTCCGCCACCCCCGCCCGGCGCGGCAGCCGCAGGGAGGGGCCTGGGAAGGCGGAGCCAGCGGCGGCCCAGGCTCGGGGCACCCGCGCGGCTCCCGGTCGCGGAGCACACAACCCGGCGCGACAAGGTAGGAGGCGGCGCGGGGAGCGGACGAGGGAGCTGGGCGCCGCGGCGGGAGGGGCGGGAGGCCGGACGGAGACCCTCCCCTCGAGCTCCCCTGCAGCCTCGCGGCCCACCGAGCCCCCTGCGGGGGTCTCAGCCCCGCCCCTCGGCCCGTGCCCCTCTCCTCCCGCGCCCGCCCCCAGCGCGCCCCCAGCTCCGCGTCCTCCGCGACCGTCCTCCGAGGTTCCCCGGGGTCGCCGCTCCTGCGCCCAGCGCGCTCCCTGTTCGTCCCACAGGTTCCTTCGGAGAGCGTGCGGGAGTCGGTGCGCGGCCGCCTGCGGGGAGCAGCCGAGGGTGAGTCCGGAGTGGCGGGGCGGGGCGGGGGCTGGAGAGCCCGGGGCGGTTCTTACGCCTCTTGGTGGCACCGGGGCTCGGCGCCGCGGGCTGGCTCCATGTTTGCGGATTGAATCAATCATGCCTCTCCTTCTCCCCTTCCGAAGGAGGACTTTTTGAGGTGGTCCACGTGCTGCAGACCACCTTCGGGGGGCTCCTGAGATAGGGGTCCCTCCTCCCGCATGGTGGAAGCCCGACTCCCAGGTCTCCCCCCTCCTGTCTGCATCCCAGTCTGGAGGCTCCCTTTGGTTTGGGTCTTGGGGGGTCGGGGAGGGGGGGCTTGTAGGCCCAACCAGGTAGCTGTGGAAGGTGGGTCCCAGAGGGAGACTTGAGGCAGGCCTCTTACAAGGTTACAGTGGAGGGGCGCGCTGCTGAGGACAGCAGCCACTGTCAGGCAGGGTCAGTTGGCACCTCCAAGGCCAGCCTGGAAGAGCGCGCTGGAATATGGATTTTGACCCACCACTGACTGAACCCCTCCACGCGCCTGTTTTTTCTTCAGTAAAATGGGAACATTAGCAGTCATTTCTCAGGACTTCGTGCAGACAAAAATATTTATCATGGAAAGCACCCCACACAATGCTTGGCACATTGAGGACTCAGCACATCAGAGCTTTATTTCCTTCCTCTGAAAAACGTAGGCAGAGGAGTCATTTGTTCCCATCCTCTGTCCACCCTGGTCTCAGAGAACACAGTGGATGTGTAGTCACTGTTGAATAAATATGCTTGATGGAGCGTCAATACCCATCCCGACTCCTTTTTCCCAGAATCTGCAGGGAGAGGTCGGGACGTGTGGACGGACGCCAGCATGCCCGTGCTGTCGGAGGACTCTGGTGAGTACCTCCCTGGGGCTGGACCTGCCACGGCCCTGAAGACAGCCTGCCTGGCAGCCTCCAGGCCCTGGAAGTGAGAGCCAGGGGAGAGGATGTCCTCACCTCAGGACTGAAGTGGTGTTGGAGGCTCCACTAGGGCTTCTGGGGGCAGGGAGCACCCGCGGCTATTGCTATCCCTTGTTTTTCTCACACTCTCTCCAGGTTTGCATGAAACCCTGGCCCTGCTGACCTCCCAGCTCAGACCTGACTCCAACCACAAGGAAGAGATGGGCTTCCTGAGGGATGTTTTCAGCGAAAAAAGCCTCAGTTACTTAATGAAGGTGAAGTCCCACGTCATCCTGCCTGGAAGGGTGTCTGGAGGTCTTTCTGGCTGTCTGTGGCCCTCTGAGGCCATCCTACTCATCTCCCTGCCCCAGGAAGGCCTTCACTTGCGCACTACACAGGACTTTCTCTTGTAGTGTCCCATCAGTGGCCCAGTCTGCTGCCCTAAGTGTCCCCACAGCCATGGGTGGGATGTGTGGTGTCCAGGGTGCATCTGAAATAGTCTGTCTTTGCAGATTCACGAGAAGCTTCACTATTATGAAAGGCAAAGTCCAACCCCAGTTCTGCACAGTGCTGTGGCCCTCGCTGAGGACGTAAGCCTTGGGTTTTTCCTTGCAGCGTCCACCCTCCTCCCCACCCTGTAGGGCTCCTTCGTCTTGCCTTGTTTGCTTAGCCTGGGGACACCGGGAATCAGGAGCCCGAAGGTGAAGAGGTGTTTTCTTCCCTTGTCCTCCTCCAATTCCTCTTCCTCTCTCTGGGTTCCCTCCCCCCCAAAAGGCAGGGAGGAACCTGTGAGCCTTGGACTGGGCTGGGAGACGTGGTGACGTGCGGCTCCCCACTCACTGTGTGTTCTTGAGAAAGTCTGTTTCCTCTGCTCTAAATGAGAACATTGGATTGGCTCAGCAGTTCCCAAACTGCCCTGAGGACTGGCGATTTGAATAGGTCACTAAGATACTGTAACTGTGCTTTTCTGAAGTCAAGGGACCTATAGTGTGTCCCTTTGTAATGGCTCAGGCTTCGCACTTTTTAAAGGAATGCTTCTTAATTTCTTGTGGACCTAGTCATCTGTGTTGCATGGTTGGGGAAAAGCCATTCTGGTTGATTACTAAGATTAGTTCCTGAATAATCTCACCTAACTCCGGAAGCTGGCCTGGGGAGGGATGGGTGCAGCCTGTGGGTGCTGAGGCTTGGGCGCTTCTCCACTATAGAATGTGATTAGGGGCACGTTTGATTGCCCGGGTCCCAGGCTCAGCCGCTGCCTGTCCCACCAGCTCTGTGATGGTGAGCAGGCCACTCAGCTGCTTTGAGCTCCCATTTCCTCATTCGTAAAATAGCATCTGAGAGCCAGGTAAGCCCAGGTTCAAATCCTAGCTGTGCTGTATACAAACTTTGTGACTTTGGTTGGGCAAGATGCTTAATCCCTTTAAGTCTCAGGATTTTCATCTGTAAAATGGCAAAGTAACAAGACCCTCTGCCTCGAGTTGATTGCGAGGGTTCAGTGAGAAGGTCCACATAAAGCAGAAAGCACACAGGGCTTAAGACAGTGACTCCTCAGAGGATGGCCCCATAGAGCTGCTCCTGACCCCTGGCGTGATGTTTCCGGGAGCATTGTCCTGGGGTGACTGAGGGTCTGGTGTACCCCTGGGGGCTGCAGCTGGGTGGGCCCTTGAATCTGTGGTCCAAAGAGGAAGGACCCAGCAGATGTGGGACAGGGGCACCCCCAGCCATCGGCAGCACCTGTCTCGTTCTCTGCAGGTGATGGAGGAGCTGCAGGCCGCCTCCGTGCACGGTGATGAGAGGGAGCTGCTCCAGCTGCTCTCCACTCCGCACCTGAGGGTAGTCACGCAGAGCCCCCCCGCCCCCCCATGCCTCTGTGTCTCCTGGGATGGGGGCGGAGGGAGCTCTCCTCGTGAGGCTGCAGAGCGGAGACACCTGAGGGAGCGGTCCTCAGCGCCAGTGTCTGGCAGTTGTCTCTCTGGCATGATGTCCGCCACCCTCCAGGCCACCGCCCAGCGGAGGCCTGCTGACCCTGTGAGTGGCAGGCCAGCCCTCCTTTTCTCTTGCTTTCCCGGCAGGCTGTGCTCATGGTACATGACACGGTTGCCCAGAAGAATTTTGACCCCGTTCTCCCACCTCTGCCTGATAATATCGATGAGGATTTTGATGAGGAATCGGTGAAGATCGTCCGCTTGGTGAAGAACAAGGAACCCCTGGTAGGTGCTGCCTGCCTCTCTCTAACCCACTGGTCCCCTGCCTCTCACCCCCACCCAGAACACTGGAACAGGACCCTACCGAAGTCTTCAGAGGGAGTGATGGCAGCTTCGCCAGGCCTGCTGCTCGTCTCTGTGTCACCTCTGTGTTCAGGGCGCCCCTTCCTCTGGGTGGATACAGCCCCCCTCCACTGTGGCCAGTTCCCTTTGTCAGTCAATAACCTGCACAATTGTACAGGGTGACCTCGATCACCCTTTAAGCCAGAAATGGACCAGCTACAGCCCAAGGGTCAAACCCAGCCCACAGCTTATTTTTTTAAATAAAGCTTTTTTGGAGCACACCCAGGCCCATTCACTTATAGATTGGCTGTGGCTGCCTTTACAGTGCGATGGCAGAGTTGAGTCATAGTGACAGAGACCGTGTGGCCGGCCTAAAATATTTACCTGTGGCCCCTTACAGAAAACGTGTGACGATGCCTGCTCTGACTATTGAGGAAGCGCAGGGCATTCCTCTCCCCGGCAGACAGTTTGCTATCACTTTGGTCCTGGTCCAGCATTGATGTACCCAGCAAAGGGACAGCGTTGTTTATGAGATGGACGGAAGTGGTGGAAGCCCAGAGAATTGAGACTGGCTCCAGAGGATCCCACAGCTGGCATTCTCTATTTCCAGCTTTCCCCCAAATGACCTCCAACAAGCAAATAGACGAGGATCTCTCCTCTGCCTCTATTTCCTCACCTGTAAAATTGAGCAGCCATTCACTTAGCAGACACACCGTGAACTCTCCAGGCTCTGTACTGGGTGCTGGTGGTTCAGAGCTGAATGAATGATGGATAGAGATGCTGGGAAGTTCTCAGGTCTGGGGGGCTAGAAGTCCTGGGGTTCTTAGCTGACGGCCTCTTTCCAGCAATAATAATCTTATGTACTTCAAATAGATGGCACAGATGACGTTAAGAGAAATGTGCAAATATGTTTCAATTCCAGCTGCTCATAAGTGGTTAACATTTGTTGAGTGCTTACTGTGTACTAAGTGCTCGCATGGAATCCTTGCAACAACCGTGTGAGTTAAATGCTATCCCACACCTCAGAGGAAACAGGCGTGGAGAGGATAAGCGATGTCCTTGCTAAGGCCACATGCTCTTTGTAAACGGTAGAGCTGTGCTCACACCCGGGGCTGTCCAGCCCTCGAGCTTAGCGCTTAAGCTTTCTGCTGTCCTGCCGCAGTCCGGCCTCCGCGGTGCAGGAAATCGAGCGCTCGTTAGTGCCTCTCTCATCCCGAGTGTCATCTCTGCTGTGCTTCCTGGGCCGAGTCCTGGTCCTGAAGCTCTGGCTGGGGTGCATAATTGGTTTCCCTCAGCGACAGCAGAAGGCCCCGTAAGCCTGTGATTGGGGAGAGGTGGGGTGCGAATGAGCTGGCACATATCCTCATTATTAAATGTCTTTGCAAGTGATAGGAACTGTGATATGACAGATGTGACGGAGAACGTACTGGATTTGGCATCACAAAAAGCCTTCCCCTTTGCCAGCTGGGTGACCTTGAGAATGTCTCGCTTCTCTGTGCCCCAGTCCCTCATCTAAAATGTCACAGTGTAATTGTGCCTCGTCAACTGTAAAGTGCAGAGCTGTACTGACGGCTGATGGTTTTGTTTTGTCATCAGCCCTGGGAAGGTCCCTACTGACCCGCCCTCTGGACTGTCAGAGGGAGGGGTCGGGGAGGCTGTGTTGGGCCTGGAGAGTAGGGGTCTAGGGTTTGGAACTGCTGCTGAAGAACCTGTGTCTTCTGTCTCGGGTGCAGGGTGCCACCATCCGGCGGGATGAGCACTCGGGGGCTGTTGTGGTGGCCAGAATCATGCGAGGAGGCGCAGCAGACAGGAGCGGTGAGTGGCGGCAGTGCAAAGTCGGCCCGTCATGGCCGTGGTTCCAGAGCCCTCTGCCTTTGCTTCAGGGCCCCTTACCTCCCTCCTCTCAGGTCACCTGTTTGGGATGTGCTTTGCTTTCTGGGGTTGGGGCTGGAATTCTCATCTCATCCCCAAGTCAGTAGAAACTGTAATAGAAAATATAGGCCAGCTGGGCATGATTGCTCACACTTGTAATCCCAGCACTTCGGGAGGCCGAGGTGGGTAGATCACTGGAGGCCGGGAGTTTGAGACCAACTTAGTCAACATGGCGAAACCCCATCTCTACTAAACACACAAACCTGGGAAGTGGAGGTTGCAGTGAGCCGAGATTACCCCACTGCACTCCAGCCTGGGCAACAGTTAGACTCTGTCTCAAATGAAAGGAAAAAGAAAATATAGGCCACCCACAGTGGCTCACACCTAAAGTCCTAGCTATCTGGGAGACCCAGGTGGGAAGATTGAGCCCAGGAGTTTGAGGTTGCAGGGAACTGTGATTACACCACCACACTCTAGCACGGGAGACGCAGTGAGGCTGTCTCTTAAAAAAAAAGAAAAAGGAAATACAATAGTCATGGAGTATTTTGGGGCGATTGTGAAAAAGCTCATGTGTTGGTTTAGTCCAAGGACTGTGACAATTAAGAATATAGCATGGGCTTGGGGATTACTGTGGGGGAGGGGGATGACACCCTTCCCCGCCACCCCAGGTCTTGTCAAGCTGCTATTACAAAGAGAGTGTGTGTGTCCCGGATTCGTTTGGGTGGAAAGCAGGTTGAGAACCACCGGTGTGTGGAGGAGCTACTAAGCTGGGAGACAAACCTCCGGGTGTTACCTGCAAAGTCTGGGGGTCATTGTTGCAGAGAATCCTAGACCAGTGCTTTGCAGACATTAACGAGTACACGAGTTCCCCGAGAATCTTGGTAAAAGGCAGGCTGACTCAGCAGGTCTGGGCTGGGCTGAAGATTCTGCACTTTTAACCCGCCTCCAGGTGACGCGGATGCAGCCGGGTCAGTGCCCACTTTGAGTAGCAAATAGGGCCCTAATTTGCAGAAACAGTTGCCATTCAGGCAGAGGCTCATAGTGTGTTTTTACTCTTCGTGATGTCTTCACTGGTGACTTTATCTTTCTGTGCTGAGAGGTTAAGAACGCCATTCTTGGAGTATGTCTGTAAACCTAGGAAGGTGAAGAGTTAATGATAATTTTAAAGAAGCAGAGGTTATAGCAGAAAGAACACAGGCTTTCTACATCAGAATAACTGTGCTTAAATACTGGCTTCATTATTTCTTAGCAATGTGGCCTTAGGCAAGCTGCTTTATCTTCCTGGGGCTCAGATGCTAACTTGTAAATTGGAGATTTTACTGGGTGATTTGAGACCTCCATGCCGAGCGAGGTGCCCAGCACCCAGCGGGGCTTAGTTTGCCCCAGTCCCACCCATCAACTTTAAACTTGGAGTCTGCCCCGCGGGGGGCTCCGCAGGCAGGCGCCCGTGGTGCTTGGCGCTCCGAGCGCGGGTGCTGAGGTCCCGTTCCTGTGCTGATGGTCAGTCCCTGTGTCTCCTAGGCCTGGTCCACGTTGGAGATGAGCTCCGAGAAGTGAACGGGATCGCAGTCCTGCACAAGCGGCCCGATGAGATCAGCCAGATTCTGGTCCGTGCTGCATGCCTGCTAGGGACGTGGTGGGTCTTCACACTCCGAGAGCAGGGCGCTTCCCAGAGCCAGCGCAGATTCTGGCTTAGCTTTGCTGTTGTCCCGAGGAGGTGGCAGGCAAAGTGGCCTTATGGTGTGCCCCTAACACGGTGCCCGGGGCATGGGGTGGGGGCAGGAGGAGGGGAACTTCCCTTCTGTCTGCCTCTCTTAGACCCTCTCCTGGGCACAGCCTGCCTTCCTTCCCCTGGTTCCCTTTCACAAGGCCCCTCCTGGGTCCGGGTCCTGCGTGTGAATCCTGGCTCTGCCTCCTTCCAGCTGTGCAACCTTGGACAAGCTATCAAATCCTTTCAGTTTCCATTTCATTTTCCTTAACGTTGGGATAGAGGTGCTTTCTCAACCAATGTGTGGTTATCATTGGGATGCCAACATCTGGAAAAGGGTGAAGCCCTTCTGAAGTGTAAGGGGATTTCTAGGTATTAAATGCTGGGCTGAAAACAACCTCCACAGTCCCTTCTTGGGAATTGAAGTCAAAACAAATTGTGAAAAGCCACAATCATAGCTTGGTCCCCTTTGTACTCAGGAATCCTCCCACAACCTGACACTCTTTGCTAACTTCTGATGGTTTGCGGGGGCAGAAACAGAATGAGATCTGAAGAGAGGAGGTCCACTGGTTAAAGCCTTCTCTGGGGTGTGCTCGGTGGTTTACACCTATAATCCCAGCACTTTGGGAGACTGAGGCAGGTGGATCACCTGAGATCAGAAGTTTGAGACCAGCCTGGCCAACATGGTGAAATCCCGCCTCTACTAAAAATACAAGAAATTAGCCAGGCATGGTGGCAGGCACCTGTAATCCCAGCTGCTTGGGAGGCTGAGGCAGGAGAATCTCTTGAACCCGGGAGGTGGAGGTTGCAGTGAGCCAAGATCGTGCCACTACACTCTAGCCTGGGTGACAAGAGCAAAACTCCATCTCAAAACCAAACAGCAACAAAATAAAGCCCTCTCTGTAGGGGATGCAGATTGCAAGCAGGCCCTTCATTCCTTTTGCCCGAGTTGTTTTTTTTTTTCTGTGGCTTTGGGCACCAACCTCCTGTGCTCCAGAGCAAGGGTCGGGGCTTTCTGGGCATTGGTGAGGCCAGGAGACGATGTGTTGGGCTGCACTGTCCTGGCGGGCCCCTGGCATTGGGCTGCAGGGTCTCTGTGGACGTGGGAGAAGGGAGCTCCCAGAAAGCTGGGCGTGGCCTGAGATTGGAGGGCTGCTGGGGGAGATGGATGCTAAGAGGGACTTGCTAATCAGAGACCAGCCCTCTATCAGGCAGGAAAGAGGAAGAGGAAACAGAAATACCTGAAATGGGTTGTTCAGATGCCCCAAGAGAGAAGCAAGGAAGGGAGCCCTCTGGGGCCCTAGCGGTCAGAAGGGATGGAGAATTGGAATTCAACATGCAGTGTCCTTGGGCTCTCAGGGAAAGTCTTTTGTCCCTTTGTCTTTTGAAAATACAACTACCGACCCCTCACTGCTAAATTTGAACTGGCTTAAAAATAAAAATACAAATACATGCAGTGACTTGGTTACTGAGTTTTGCTTTAGTTCCTTCAACCAGGCTACCATCCTAGAAGGGCAGGCCTCAGGGAGGCTGCAAGTCTGACTTTCTGAACATCAGTTTTCAGGCCTGGGAAGGAAGAGTTGCACTCATGGAGGATTAGACCTGGCAGGCGAGAAGTTTCTGTTCTCTCTCGTTTCAGGCCCAGTCCCAGGGATCCATCACCCTAAAAATCATCCCAGCCACCCAGGAGGAAGATCGATTAAAGGAGAGCAAGGTATGGGGAGGTGGGCCCGCGGGTGGCCGCTCTCAGTTTGAGAGATGCAGCTCACTGGCTGGGGCTGGAGCCAGGCCAGCCTCCTGAAACCAGCATTCGAAAGCAGATCATAGATCTGGTCCTAGTCATCTGTGCCCAGTGGAGGACTTTAATTCTGTCACAAAGTGATTCATTTATTTGTACCCTGCCTCTTTCTAAACAGGATTTGACGTAGCTTACTAATAAAAGACGAGGTTATTTTAATTGAAATAGAAACTCAGGGCCATGAAGAGGAGGAGAAAGTAGCAAGTGTGCCGAATTCTGAACCAATTAAGTAACTGCCATTGGTCGAATTGTTGCTGAGCTTGCCTTATTTGGTCACCTCGGTGCCAGGCACTCTGCCAGATGCTGGAGACAGGGACTGTTGGTAGCTTCAAGGGTTCCTGGTACAGAAGGGCAGCAAGCCTTTTCATTGCTTTGTGATCAGTGCTTTGACGAGATTCTGTACAAAAAGTTACAGTCACCCTAGAGGGTGTCACTGAGTGGGAGTGTCAGGACCGAGGCCTGAAGAAGGTAAAGACGAGTAGGACCTTGCCGGGGGCTGCGCACACAGAGGCTCCCTGGCATTCTGGAGAGGAGCATGTTAAGGGCGATGTGATGGGGCTTGGGGCGGGGAGGGTGGTGGTGGGTTTTGCTGGGGGTGGGTTAAGCCCGTGTTCTGAATGGCCTTGAATGCTTTGTTAAGAGCTTTGGCATAATCCTTCCTTAGTTTGGGGCCTCTGAGAAGCTGACCCTGAGACAAAGATTTGAATGCAGATGGTTTACTTGGGAAGGGACCCCAGGAAAACACCAGAACAGGCCTGGGAAGGGAAGACGGCCGATCTGACTAAGGGTGTCTTATCAAGCCAGTTACCACTATGGGCAACTGGAGCTTAGTCCTGCTGGGAACTGGGGGAACCACTTCTCCCCCCATAGAATGCACGCCTCCGTCATCCCATCCAAGTGCCCTGGGAGCTGGGCAATCCATACACCAACTCCTGCCAGGCTGCGACCGGGGGATTAATTCTAGTAACTTCTGCCTGCTGGATTAGAGAAGAGCAGGCTCCAGTGGCCAGAGCAAGTAAGTCCTTAGGCAAAGAGATGCAGGCACTGGCCGCTGGAAGTCAGCCCAAGCTGCACGGAATAGTCCAGCCCTGGGGCATAGGGGAGGGCATCCCACAGCCCAGGAAATAATCCCATAGGTTCTAATCAGCTCTTAAAGGTGTTCTTGTTGTTGCTGTTTTTTTGTTTTTGTTTTTTTTTTTTTAAAGGATGGGAGTGGTGCAATCATATTTGTGTTTTAGAAAGCTCCCTGGGGCAGCCACATGGAGGAGGGTGGAATGGGTAGAGGCTGGAGGCAGGAAGGTAGGTAAAAGGCTCTTGTAAAAGCCCGGGTGAGACATTATTAAGACCTGAACTGTGAGATAGTGGTTGATGAGATAGAGAGGAGGACATCACTTTGATTTCACAGTACATTTGGATCTGAGTTTCCTGGCAGCCAAGGCAAAAAGAACATAATGAATTACATGCTGTTCAGCAGAGAATGGGAGGAAGTATGCCAGTTTTTCAAGATGGATTCCCATACCTGCCTCTCAGTACTTAATGCATCTGGCACAGAGGAGATGTCAGTCGACGCTTTGATGAATGTGGATTAGAAATGGACAGTGTCTTCAATGACAGTTTTTACAGCAAGTGAAGAAATAATCTTTATACAGCTATTTCTTATTTGTGCTCTTTGGTTAAATCCCAGGGCATAATATTTCCTTTTACCTGGTGGAAGGTGATTCTTCCTAGGACAAGTGAATGTGGTCCCCATATGCAACTTTGAGGGTTCTGACTTTAGGAACCGCCTTTGAGGAAGAGAACTTGGTTTTCCTAAAGGACAAAATGAGTAGCCTGTCCCCCAGCCCATCCTTCCTGAATATTTCTTCCTGATCCAGATGCTTGATTCGGGCTGGCCCCTTAACATGATACTCTTCTGAGTGCTTAGGACCCTGGTAATCTGTGGCTGGTTAAGGGTGTTTATCCCCACACCATATACCAGAAAGTTCTTACTATTGTCCCGTGGAATCTTTTCGGGTTGGCATAGAAAGGAATACAGTTTATCTGGCTGAGGAAGACCACTGATTGCTTTTTTTTTTTTTTTTTTTTTTTCTATTTGCCACTGAAGGGGTTGGGCCCTAATGGTCTGAAAATGCAAATAAATAAAATTAATCCATGGCACTCAATTAGAGAAGAGCGCAAGGAAGTGTGAAAAATGCTGTGTCCTCACACCATCTTCTCCAGGGAGGGTGACCCTAGGGTAGACGGGGAAGGGGGCTTGGCCGCGTCTGTGGCAGATGAGGCAGGACTGAGCTGTAAGTACTGTGGGTGTCAGTTACTCACTGAAAAGTCACGGTGAGGAGTCAGTAACAGTAGTTTTGTTGATATTTGTGTTCTTACCCAAACATCTAGATTACTTATATAACAGATGGCTGCTGCCTGCCGTCAGTGCAGTTGGCATATCAAAAATAACACTTGAGTTAGAAATTGTGCTTGCCTTTACTTTTTGTTCCCAGGATTAGTTGTTGCTGTGTGTGTGCTGAGAGGCTGTTATGAGGACAGCTAGTCAAGTAAATAAGGAAATATTTAGGTGGGAAAGAGACATTCAGCCATGGGACCTGTCTATTAATTTTCTGATTTTTGATGGACTTCCTGACGACAGTATCCCAAATGGTTGAAGACCAGTTAAGAACATATGTACAGGCCGGGTGCAATGGCTCATACCTGTAATTCCAACACTTTGGGAGGCCGAAGCAGGCAGATCATGGGGTCAGGAGATCGAGACCATCCTGGCCAACATGGAGAAAATCCATCTTTACTAAAAATACAAAAAAAAAAAAAAAAAAAAAAAAAATTAGCTGGGCATGGTTGCATGTGCCTGTACTCCCAGATACTCGAGGGGCTGAAGCAGGAGAATCGCTTGAAACGGGGAGTTGGAGGTTGCAGTGAGCCAAGATTGTATTACTGCACTCCAGCCTGGTTATGGAGTGAGACTCCAACTAGAAAAAAAAGGAACATATGTGCAGTGTGTTCCCAAGTAGCTTTCTATTCTAAAGGCCGCTCGGTCCTCCCAAGTGTGGATGGTGGTCACGTGGCCTTTGATGTGGCAGTGACATGTCTGTGCTCGCAGGGAGAAGGGCCGCCTCACCTCAGCCCTCCTTGTGCAGGTGTTCATGCGTGCCCTCTTCCACTACAACCCTCGGGAGGACCGGGCCATCCCTTGCCAGGAGGCGGGTCTGCCCTTCCAGCGCAGGCAGGTCCTGGAGGTGGTGAGCCAGGATGACCCCACATGGTGGCAGGCCAAGCGAGTCGGGGACACCAACCTTCGAGCCGGCCTCATCCCCTCCAAGCGGTTCCAGGAGAGGTGGGTCTGGGGTGTGTCTTGAAGGGCTGGTTCCAGAGTGGCAGAGACGCAGGTACGTGACAGACCCCCGAGTCTCTGCCCTCACAGCCAGAGGGGCCTGCTGAGCCTTGTTCCTCCAAGGTGAGTACCAGTTGCACGTGTATTTCGTCTTCTCTTCTCGTAACTCGTGGTGATGGCTGTTTGAGATTTCAAGGAATCTGGGCCAGACGTGATGGCTCACACCTGCAATCCCAACACTTGGAAGGCCAAGGCGGGTGGATCATGGGGTCAAGAGATCGAGACCATCCTGGCCAACATGGTGAAACCTTGTTTATACTAAAAATACCAAAATTAGCTGGGTATGGTGGCGCACGCTTGTAGTTTCAGCTGCTTGGGGAGTTGAGGCAGGAGAACTGCTTGAACCCAGGAGTGAGAGTTTGCAGTAAGCTGAGATTGCGCCACTGCACTCCGGTATGGTGACAAAGTGACACTCTATCTCAAAAAAAAAAAAAAAAAAAAAGGAATCTATGGAAATTTATGTTAAGTTAAGGTGTGTGGGTGTGTGGGGTGTGTGTGTATTTTATTTTATTTTTGAGACTGAGTGTCACTCTGTCACCCAGGCTGGAGTGCAGTGGCGCAATCTTGGTTTACTGCAACCTCCACCTCCTGGGTTCAAGCAATTCTCATGCCTCAGCCTCCCGAGTAGCTGAGATTACAGTTATGCACTACCATGCCTGGCTGATTTTTGTATTTTTAGTAGAGACAGGGTTTCACTATGTTGGCCAGGCTGGTCTCAAACTCCTGGCCTCAGGTGATCCGCCTGCCTTGACCTCCCAAAGTGCTGGGATTACAGGCATGAGTCACTGGGCCAAGCCTAAGTTAATGTATATTTTAAATGCATGCTTAGAAAATGTTGAGAAATAAAATATAAAAATACAGAAGAGAGGCTGGGCATAGTTGTGGCTCACTCCTGTAATCCCAGCACTTTGGGAAGCCAAGGCAGAAGGTTCCCTTGAGCCCAGGAGTTCAAGACCAGCCTAGGCAACATAGTGAGACCTTGTCTCTACAAAAAATAAAAAATTAGCTAAGCGAAGTGGCACATGCCTGCAGTCCCAGCTTCTCAGGAGGCTGGGGTGGAAGGATCGCTTGAGCCCAAGAAGGTCAAGGCTGCAGTGAGTGATTATATACTGCACTGCAGCCTGAGTAACAGAGTGAGACCCAGACTCAAAAAAAGAGGACTATGAAAGAAAATTCCCCAAGTCTCACTCCTATCTAAACAGCATAGTTTATTTCCTTACTGTGCTTTTTATGTGAGTGTTGCATACAGAATTTGGGGTTTTGCTTTGTATGTTTATTTTTTTAACATTTTGGCATGAGTATTTCCCATATTACAGCACCATCTTTGTAACGTGATTTTAGTGGCTGTATACTAACTCATCAGGAGTCGCGCCATTCTTTCCTAGGCGGCAGGTATTTGGGATGAATTGAGCTGGCCTCGTGCGAGGCATCTTGTGGGCTGCTGTGAACCCAGGGTTTCTGCCCTAGAAGAGCTTATAGTTCAGTGGAAAAGCCAGATACTCTTCAAACCAACAGTTTATATAAATGTGACGGATGCGTGAGAGGAGGATATGATGCTCTGTGAGTTCATATGAGGGGGCTGTGCTCTCATCCAGGAATGCAGGGAAGGCTTCTTGGAGGAACTAGCTAGATGACGTCACTGCTTTCCTGTGGCTGCACTTTCATTAGGTTGTTCTCACTGTTATAAGGCTGCAGTACTTACCTTGCAGGAAGACTGTTCCTCATATTTCAAATTCTTTCTTTTTTTTTTTTTTTTTTTGAGATGGAATCTCACTCTGCTGCCCGGGCTAGAGTGCAGTGGCACGATCTCAGCTTACTGCAACCCCCACCTCATAGGTTCAAGCGATTCTCCTGCCTCAGTCTCCTGAGTAGCTGGAGTTATAGGGGCCCCACCACCACACCCGGCTAATGTTTTGTATTTTTAGTAGAGACGGGGTTTCTCTGTATTAGCCAGGATGGTCTTGGATCTCCTGACCTCATAATCCGCCTGCCTCGGCCTCCCAAAATGCTGGGATTACAGGCATGAGCCACCGTGCCTGGCCTCAGATTATTTCTCTAGACTTCCAAGAGAGTCAACCTTGAGTCAGAGGGTGGCAGTCGTGACTTCCACTGTGGGTTGTAGCCCTCGCGTCTTTTGGTGTGTGGACTGTGGCGAGGACAGGATCTCAGGGTTCACCCATTTCAGTGACCCTCAAGGTGTGGCCCCCGGCTGGGCTTCAGCATCACCTGAGAACTTGTTAGAAATACAAATCCATGGGTCCCACCCAGAAATTCCACCTTCTAACAAATGTTCCGGGTGACTTCGAGGTGCTGGAGTCTGAGAATGAAGCTCTGTCTCCTCAGGGGAACCCCAGACCCATCTGCAGTTTAGGATTCACAGGTCTTGGCAACATCTTACCAGAGGATGTCGGGGAGGGCACTTCAGCTGCATTTTTTTTTTTTTTTTTTTTTTTTTGAGACATAGTTTCACTCTGTCGCCTAGGCTGGAATGTAGTGGTGCGATCTCCACTCACTGCAGCCTCTACCTCCTGGGTTCAAGCAATTCTCCTGCCTCAGCCTCTCGAGTAGCTGGGATTACAGACATGTGCCCGGCTAAGTTTTGTATGTTTAGTAGAGATGGGGTTTCACCATGTTGGCCAGGCTGGTCTCGAACTCCTGACCTCAAGTGATCCTTCTGCCTTGGCCTCTCAAAGTACTGGGATTATAGGTGTGAGCCACTGTGCCTGGCCCTTCAGCCGCATTTAAATGTGGAAATTTAGACATGTCCAAGAGTCCCACCTCTCCACTAACAGGCACATTGGACGGTGTGCCAGGGCTGAGCCTTCCATGGGGGGCAGGGTGTTAAATTAGGGTCACTTCTGTCCTCGGCCTCTCCTGGGAGTCATTCTGCCATTTCCAGGCTCCCTCAGAGATGGGGAGGCTGGGTAGGGATAGAGAACGGGCCGCCCCTCCTCAGAAATTGGCCATAGGAGAATAACGACCAGCTGAGGACCATGCGCTGCTCTGCAGCCCTGTGTAGGGATCTGGGTGAGCTGGGTGAGCTATTTCTGGAGCAAGAGACTCAGCTTCTTCCTCCAGGTGAACCAGTGAGCCCTGTGAAAGTGTCCTCTTCATTGGAACTTAGCGCAAACCAGGAGGCCCTCGGAGTGTCCAGTGTGTGCCTACCTGTGGGATCCAGGCCTCGGTTTCCCAAGTTTTCCAAAAGGTTCTTTTCAACTGGTTCTCTGGCCCAGCTCATAGGCCCTCCCATCCCCTTGTGTCCCTGCAGACGACTGAGCTACCGGAGAGCCGCGGGCACCCTGCCGAGCCCTCAGAGCCTCAAGAAGCCCCCCTGTGAGTAGACTGTCAGGGTGGCGCTCCATGGAGGGCCCGGGGCTTAGGATGTGGCGGGGGCTTCAGGCTGGGAAGAAGCAGGCACTGGGCTAGAGGGGGCGTCAGGGGTCCTGTCTGAGCTCTCGGACTCCAGAGGAAGGAGGGGGTGGGGAGTGGGAGGTGGGACAGATAGTTCCTGGAGAGGAGCTTGCATATTTGGAGTCCATAAATGATGCTGGGGGGTGTATTAACGCCTTTCTCAAAATGACGTGCAGACGCGCGCGCGCGCGTGTGTGTGCGCGTGTGTGTGCGTGTGTCCCCACAGCTTTCGTTAGATTCCCAAGGGCTCTCTGACCCTGAAAATGGAAGAGGCACCGGTGTTGGAAGGGAATGGCGAAGGCTGTGTGATCCCGTGCCTCCGTGCGAGGGCTGCCGGATTGCCGGACTGAGCAAGCAAAGGATGCCCAATTGAAACTTGAATTTCAGATAGATGACAGATTGGTTTCTAGTATAAGTTTGTTTTTATTAGATTATAAGTGTGTCCCGTGCAACACTTGGGACATATCCTAAGAAGTTACTTGTTTTGTTTTTTTTGAAATTCAAGTTTCAGTGGGTGTCCCGCATTTTATCTGGCAACTCTACACTGTGTAGCCCTTTACCCTTTAGAAAACACGTCCCCCTACTTCTTGGAGCCCTGGGAAGTAGGTAGAGTCAGGTATCTTTTCCAAACTGGGAATATGTAGGGTGACAAGGTTAAGTGAGCAGAGGTGGGGTCACGTTTTCTGAAGGCCCGTGATCAGAGCCCCAGGGTAGAGCCCCGTATAGAGGAAGCTTTTCCAGGGCATGGTCTCTCTGGTATAAACGGCCTGAGCAAGAGCCCAGTGACAGCACGCAGCTGGCCTGCAGCTCTGCTCCACCCTGCTCCATCCTCGGGCGTCTGTGTTTTCCAGGGCCCGTCTTTAGCCCCAGAAAAGAGAGAGTGGGTCCTCTTCCCACTGCAGGATCCTAGAGTGAGCTGCTCCCTGGGCCCCTGACAATGGCTGCTTTGCCAGACTTGCTGTGAGGTTGGAAGGGCTGCTGAGTGCAGTGGCCTTGAGGTGCTTGGCCAGTGATGAGCTGCCTTTCTCTGGGCTGCTAATGAGACACACACAAGAAGACTAATTAGAGCAGATCTTGGGGTTGAATAATGGACCACAGCTCAGATCACAGGTTCGTTGGAGGAAAGGGAGAGAGGCCAGATGGCGGGCTCCTCAGGCACCCGGGCTGTGGCTGCCCTCAGCCACAGGGTCCCCGCTTCCCTCCACTAACACTGTCCCATCTGTCTTTTGTGCAAACCGCAGATGATCAGCCTTGTGACAAAGGTAGGCCCAGGATCTGTCCGCTGTGCACAGGCACGGCCCCTTTTCCATGGACCGTCTGGGGCCTGAGGGGCTCATGTTCTTTCCCCATCTGGGCAGCTGTGTGCCTCACACTGTCTGCACATCTCTTCCTGCTCTGCCAGCCAGACGGGGCTGTTCCTTGAGGCAGGCAGAGCTGGTGGAGACAGGGTTCAAGGCCTTGGGGCCCCTACCTGCCTGCCTGACACACAGGGCCCGGCCTTTCCAGGACGAGGCTGTGCTGTGATGGGGCTGGGTGGGAGACACAGGGTGGGGGGCGGGGCAGGCAGGAGCAAACCCTCCCTCATTCACGGGGTCACACTGGGGACTGGGGAGGGGCCTGCTGGCTTAGAATCCCCCTCAGGGCCTGGAGAGGCTGTTAGGGATCTAAGCATGGAGAACTGAGCCAAACAGAAGACCTTGCTTTCTGCGGGTGGCCAGGACATGGGATTTCTCCTGAGCTCTCCCAGAGACACCATCCCAGGGGGCTCTTCCTGCCTGGCCCATCCAGGGGCAGGGTCCCCTGGGCCGGGTGTGTCTGGCAGGACTCACTGGCTTCCCTCCCTGTTTGCTTCCAGAGACCTGTGACTGTGAGGGCTACCTCAAAGGGCACTATGTGGGTAAGTGGCTCCCCTGACACCCCCATGCACAACCTGCCCCACCTCAGCCTCCAGAGTCAGGGAGAGGTCAAAGCAGGGTGATCTGAGCCCCAGGAGTCCTTTGGAGCAGCAGAGCCTGTGGGACCCCTGTCTCTCCGCTGGAGCGGGAGCTGAGCCTGTCTAGGCATTGGGCTCCCACCCAGTTTTTACCCAGCCTTGGGGCACAATGCCTGGCGGGAAGGGCACACACACCTCAGCGTTAATACCAATTCTATTATCATCATCGTCATTGGAGTTTATTCAGTATTAACGTCACCACCACACAGCGGGGCTGTTTATGGCTCTCCAGAGCCCCTTTCACTTTTTATTTTGGTCAGTTTTTTGAAGGTCTTAGAGATAGGCAAAAAGTTTTTTTTGTTGTTGGTTTTTGGTTATTTTTCAGAGGCAGGGTCTTGCTCTGTCACTCACGCCGGAGTGCAGTAGTGACATCGAAGCTTGCAGCAGCCTCAACCTCCCAGGCTCCAACGGTCCTCCCACCTCAGCTTCCCGAGTAGCTGGGACTACAGGCACCTGACACCATGCCCAGCTGATCAGAAATATTTTTTTGTAGAGATGGAGGGTCTCGCTGTGTTACCCAAGCTGGTTTCAAGCTCCTGGCCTCAACTAATCCTCCCGCCTAAAAAGTTTTTAAACTTTTTTAACAATTATTTTGCGCCGGGCGCGGTGGCTCAAGCCTGTAATCCCAGCACTTTGGGAGGCCGAGGCGGGTGGATCACGAGGTCGAGAGATCGAGACCATCCTGGTCAACATGGTGAAACCCCGTCTCTACTAAAAGTGCAAAAAATTAGCTGGGCATGGTGGCACGTGCCTGTAATCCCAGCTACTCAGGAGGCTGAGGCAGGAGAATTGCCTGAACCCAGGAGGCGGAGGTTGCGGTGAGCCGAGATCGCGCCATTGCACTCCAGCCTGGGTAACAAGGGCGAAACTCCATCTCAAAAAAAAAAAAAAAAAAAAAAAAAAAAAACAATTATTTTTTGAGACACGTTTTTGCTCTGTTACCCATGCTGGAGTGCAGTGGTATGATCACAACTCACTGTAGCCTCAGCCTCCCAGGCTCAGGCGATCCTTCCATTTCAGCCTCCCCAATAGCTGGGACTACAGGTGCATGCCACTACCCCTGGCTAATTTTCATATGTTTTGTAGAGACAGAGTTTCACCACGTTGCCCAGTTGGTCCTGAACTCCTGGGATCTGCCTCGCTGGGATACAGGCATGAACCACTGTACCCAGCTCCTTCACTTTTATTTTGAAGTAATTTCAAACTTACTGAAATGGTGTAAGAATTGTACAAAGAACTCCCAAGTACTCCACTCCAGATTCACCAGCTGTGGCTGCTTTGCCACGTTTGCTCAATTTCCTTTCCCACATCTGTACATTTTCTTTGCCTGAGTCATGTGAGTTGGAGACATCATGTCCCTTTACCCCTAAATGTATTTCCTAAGGCCAAGGACTTTCTCAGGGCAATGATCAAATTCTCGGAATTTAAAATGCATCCAATTCTATTATATACTGTAACTAAAATGGTATTAGTTGTCCCTACCAAGTCCTTTATAGCATTTGGTCCAGGATCCAATCTAGGACCACACATGGTATTTGTAGATTCATATCCTTATTTCACAGATAAGGAAATTGAGGCTCAGACAGATGAAGAGGGGACTTGTCCAAGGTCAGGCACGGGCCAAGGTAAAACCGTGACCTCGAGCCCTAGTTTGTGGATGTAGAGATCACCCATTCATCTTATTGTGTTTCCCGAACAACCCCTTCCAGTAGCAGGAGGAGGTTGGGAGAGGCCAGTGGGACTCAGTCCCATCTCCAGGTCTGGCCAGGTAGAAAAAGTCTCTACTGGGAGATCCTGGGACAAATGCCATGGTGTCCCTCTGCCCCTCCTCCCAAGCTGGTCTTCGGAGGAGCTTCCGGCTGGGCTGCAGAGAGAGACTGGGCGGCTCGCAGGAAGGGAAAATGACCTCTGGAGCTGAGTCTGCAGAGCTGCTGACTTACGAGGAGGTGGCCAGGTACCAGCACCAGCCCGGAGAGCTGCCCCGCCTGGTGGTTCTGATTGGTAGGTGCCATCCCGGGTTCCCAGGGAGTGATCTGGTTTCCTCCCTGGAGCAGGTGGGGAGGGAGCTTGGCAGGGACCCTGGTCAGCCTTTCTCTTGTTTCCCAGGGTCTCTGGGAGCCCGACTGCACGAGCTGAAGCAAAAGGTGGTGGCCGAGAACCCACAGCACTTTGGCGTTGCTGTTCCACGTAAGAAGGGCCCATGTGGCGGGGGTGGGGTGTGTTTATCCGCACACACGCAAATATTTCCTGGGGACTTAAGTCTCCAGATTAATCCAAATCCTTACTTTGGGTTTAAAGGATCACCAGGCACTGCCTGCTATCGGCAAATGGTGGGACAAAGGCGTGATGGGAAGAAATCCACTTTCGGTGGTCCTCTGAGACCCTCTGAGGCAGCAGCTGGAGGACCACTTGCTTGGCTCCTGCCTAGGGTGGGAGGTGAGCCCAGAGCCCATCGTAGGCAAAGCGGCGCCTCAACCTGATACCAAGGGACCCCCGCAGTCGGGGGCATTCCTCCTCATCACAGTGAATCTTGACTCCTTTGGCCCCTGCCCTCTGCTTGGATGAGAGGGCAGGTTAAAGAAGCCACAGAGCCCCGAGAGTGGTGTTTCTTGGCACTCCCTTATGGCCAGATTCCAGTGTGTCAGGGTGGTTGGGTACATCCCTGGGTGATGCCTCCCCTGCCAGTTCCTGAGGCTTGCTGCTGTTAGGGGTACCCTGGGATGTCAAGCTCCAGTGGGCAGCGAGTCCTGGTTCTAAATATGATAAGGAGGATGAGGAGGAGGAGAATGAAGGTGCCAGGTACTACACCAAGAGCTTTTATGTGCAGTCCCTGGGTCAGCCCTCCCAGTACCGCTGAAAAGAGAGATTGTTATCATCCTGTATGGCAGCGGAAGACAGTGAGGCCTAGAGAAGTTAAGTAACTTACCCAGTTGGTAAGTGGTGGAGCCAAGAGTCAAACTCAGGCATCCCGTCCCAGTCATGTTCTTTTTTTTTTTTGAGATGTAGTCTCACTCTGTCGCCCAGGCTGGAGTGCGGTGGCATGATGTTGGCTCACTGCAACCTCTGCCTCCCGGATTCAAGCGATTCTCCAGCCTTAGCCTCCCAAGTAGCTGGGATTACAGGCACGTGCCATCACTCCCGGCTGATTTTTTTTTGGTATTTTTAGTAGAGACGGGGTTTTATCATGTTGATCAGGCTGGTCTCGAACTCCTGACCCTGTGATCCGCCTGCCTCGGCCTCCCAAAGTGTTGAGATTACAGGCGTGAGCCACTGTGCCCTGCCCCCAGTCATGTTCTTAATGAGGGTACACAGTGGCCTCTCACCTGCTGCCTGCTACTTCATGTCCTTGGCTGCCCCTTTCCTTTCTGGGACTCACTCTCAGTCCCCTTGGCCTCAAAGGAATACAGTGTGAATGCCTGGTGGGTACTGAGAGGGGCGCTGTGGTGGTGACAGTGGGCCTTCTCAGAGTGTTCTGGGGGAGGGCAACCACCAATCCTCGCTTTGGTCACACCGCTCTCCCTTGGCCCCTGGGCCTAGCACCTAGTCTGTGGGTTGTCAGAGCTGTCTTCAAGAGCCCAATCTGAAGTGGCAGGGATGTGGAGAAGGTGGTGGCGCTGGGGAGGCCTGTGATGGACCTGGAGGGCTTTAGGGAGCCACAGCCTTCCAGATTTCAGCTGGACTGAAACAGGACATGCAGAGGTTGCTCACACACCGATCGTTCAGAACCCCCTGGATCCATCCCCTGGGGAAGGGGGTACCCGGATGGTCAGGCCCACCTGCTTCCAGGCACTCCACAGATAGGAGACTTTCCTCCTTGGTTTTAGAAACTGAGGGAGTCAGGGAAGCCTTCCCAGAGGCAGTGACTTTTGTGGTGGGTTTTGAAGACTAAATAGGAGTTTTCCAGGCAGAAAAGAAAGGACTGGTTCTCTGCATGGAGGAAACAACCTGTGCAAAGAGACGAAGCAGTGTTAGGGACTTGGGAAGTTAGTATGGATGATGTGGTGGAAAATGGAGCTGAGTCAGAGACTGGGCAGATCACGCAGGTCTTACATACTCAGCTAGGGTGTTTAGAATGTAATCCGTAGACAATTAAAAGTTTTTAAGCAGGGGAATGACGTGGTTGGAAAGTGACCCTAGCAGCTCTACAAGAGGTTGTACTGAGATGCCACGAATAGTACACAGGGCATCCCCTGAGTGGTTCCCATGCATCGGAAGGCACAGTGACCCAGGATCCCATTTTTTCTTTTGGAAAATACTGTGCGGCGTTGTGTGTGCTCTTGCTCTGTGGAAGACCTCATTTTTCCCAGAAGTGTGCATGTTAATTCTGTTATGGAAATCAATGAGAAAACACCATGCGTTTTGACATTTTTGTTTGAGAGCCAGCCTTGCTGAAACGTATCCAATCCATACAGGGATGGCCTGTCTTCCTGCCTCCTTTTTCTCAAGATGAGAACTAATTAACTAAATAATTAAAAGCACACACTAGGGTCAAATGTATGTGTGGCGACTTTGTTCTCAAAAAAGAAAAAAAAAAATGAAGAATTAAAAGCTAGGACCGGGGGTCCTGTTAAGTGATTCTTTAAAAGCCACAGCATTGGCCAGGCGCTGTGGCTCACACCTGTAATCCCAGCACTCTGGGAGGTTGAGGTGGGTGGATCACCTGAGGTTGGGAGTTTGAGACCAGCCTGACCAACATGGAGAAACCCCGTCTCTCCTAAAAATACGACATTAGCAGGGCGTGGTGACGCATGCCTGTAATCCCAGCTACTCGGGAGGCTGAGGCAGGAGAATCTCTTGAACCTGGGAGGTGGAGGCTGCAGTGAACCGAGATCATGCCATTGCACTTCAGCTTGGGAAACAAGAGCGAAACTCTGTATAAAAAAGGAAAAGAAAAGAAAAAGCCACAGTATCAGGGAGTCAGTGAGCAGAGTGGTTAAGGGTACAAGCTGGGCATTTGGCAGAGGGACTGATTCTGGCTGTGGGTCACTGGGCACAGTGCTGAACCTCTCTGTGCCTCAGTTTTCTCAGCTGCAAAAGGAAAGGCCTCCTTTTGCCTACATCAAAGAGTTGTGTGAATCAGGAAAGGTACAGTGCCTGATACAGGGACATGCGATCAGGTGGAAGTGCTTGGTTTCGACACACAGAGCAGCCCTGAACTGAATGAGCACCTAAGCCCGTTGCTGTCCCCATGTGCTGTGCTGCGATATCTCTTTGCCCAGCTTTCCTTCTTTCTTTCAAAGATACCACCAGACCCCGAAAGAGCCATGAGAAGGAAGGAGTGGAATATCACTTTGTGTCTAAGCAAGCATTTGAGGCCGACTTACATCACAACAAGTACGTTGCTTGATGGGCTAGTCGGCCCCCCGGGAAGCTGCGTGTTTTCCTATCTGCCCCGTATTCCGCTGGAGCTCCTGGGAGGGCTCCCGGAAAGGATGGGGGAAGGGGACAGCAGTGATGTTAGGAGGTCCCCTTTGCTTCGCTAATTTAGGAAAAGCTCAGGAACTAAAGGTCTTTTCCCCTTTGGTGGTGTTTTAGGTTCCTGGAACATGGTGAATATAAGGAAAATCTCTATGGAACCAGCCTGGAGGCCATTCAGGCTGTTATGGCCAAAAACAAAATTTGTTTGGTGGATGTGGAGCCGGAAGTGAGTTCCTGGGCCTGCTGGCCATTTCGGGTTAATGGAATTTATATCCAGGGGATTGTATGTCTTACGTAACAGTTAACCTCAGTCTAAGGAATTTTTAGTCTAGAGCACTGGCTGTTAAATTTCTTTGGGTCTTCCTTTGAGAATCAACAGCCTCATACCCCCAAACATGCCCCTCTATCCACAAATGCTGCGTTCATTTTAGGGAGCTCATGGATACTCTGGTGGCTCACAGACCCAGGCTAGTAACCCCTGCAGGGAACAGATCACGCAATAGTTGTGGTGCTGACTGGCCATTGCAGTGTGCCAGAGAATTAGATGTCAATACTCAGGTTTGGCTGGGTGTGGTGGCTCACGCCTATAATCCTAGCACTTTGGGAGGCTGAGGTGGGTGGATCACGAGGCCAGGAGTTCGAGACTAGCCTGGCCAACATAGTGGAACCCTGTCTCTACTAAAAATACAAAAATTAGCCAGGTGTGGTGACACATGCCTGTAGTCCCAGCTACTCAGGAGGCTGAGGTAGGAGAATGGCTTGAACCCAGGAGGCGGAGGTTGCAGTGAGCTGAGACCATGCCATTGCACTACAGCCTGGGTGACAGAGTGAGACTCTGTCTCAAAACAAACAAACAAACAAACAAAAAACAACACACACACTCTCTCTCGCACACACACACCGAGGTAAAACTCTCGGTGCCAGGCCTCCCCTTCTCCAGCCAGGGCAGGTGGAGTCAGTGGCTTAGAGACTACTCAGAGAGGCAGTCAGAAGAGCAGTTTAAAGGGGAAGAAGAGGGAGGGAGACATGACCCTGTGAAATGCTTCAAAAACGTTTCCACTCCTGCATGCCAGCATGCTGTGGGTTCAACAGGGGCTTAACCACCTTTTTAACCTTGTCTTTTAGAAAAACTGCCAAGCTTCGAACTCGATCTAAGGACTTTTTCCCCCCTCTATAGACACAGATCTCTGATTTTACGATATAAACTATAGGCATTATTTTGAAGAAGTTTGCTTGAAATGTATTCCAAAAAGCACGTTATGTCTGTAAAGGAAAACGCTCACTCATTTGGACTTACAGGGAGCTGGTAGTCAAAATTCAAAGTCTGAGTTTGAAAAATTTCTTTGAAAAGTGATTTGATTGATCTTTTGGGTACATATAATGAATATAGCCGTTTCATACTAGTGTTTCCAAATAGAGCCCATACATTCTAGATAAAATGGATTAATCAAGAGTACAAGTTCTACAGTCTAGAGCAGGCGTCCCCAAACTTTTTACACAGGGGGCCATTTCACTGTCCCTCAGACCGTTGGAGGGCCGCCACATACTGTGCTCCTCTCACTGACCACCAATGAAAGAGGTGCCCCTTCCTGAAGTGCGGTGGGGGCGCTGGATGAATGGCCTCAGGGGGCCGCCGTAGTTTGGGGACGCCTGGTCTACAGTTTTGTTTTCAGGTGATCTCTTTGGTAATCTCATTTGCTTTGCAAACTTTTTCTTCTTCTTTTTTTTTTTTTTTTTTTGAGACGGCATTTCACTCTTGTTACCCAGGCTGGAGTGCAATGGCGCGATCTCGGCCCACCGCAACCTCCGCCTCCTGGGTTCAGGCAATTCTCCTGCCTCAGCCTCCTGAGTAGCTGGGATTACCGGCACGCGCCACCGTGCCCAGCTAATTTTTTTTTTTTTTTTTTTTTTGTATTTTTAGTAGAGACAGGATCTCACCATGTTGACCGGGATGGTCTCGATCTCTTGACCTCGTGATCCACCCGCCTCAGCCTCCCAAAGTGCTGGGATTACAGGCGTGAGCCACCGCGCCCGGCCAACTTTTTCTTCTTTGAATACCAAGAGGAGGTGTGGTAGCACAAATTTGGTAATAGTGTAGTCCAAATTGATGACATTTGACTAAATAGATAGACACTGACTCCTGCTTCCTCACCCATCAGGAATGGAAGGCAGAGAGGAGCCTAGAAGGTTAATTATAGCCAGAGGGGTCAGAGCTAAGAGACAGCAACTCTCTTTTAGGAACTTGCTGTTGGCAGCAAGTGTGCCTTCAGGGCCCCGCTGAGTTCAATGTCAAGGTGAAGGACGAGTAAAGGAGCAGTTGGTCTGCCCAGCTGAAGTCCATTGTCATGGGACCCATGTAACCAAGACCTTTACTGTTGAGGTTATGGAATTGAAGCACATGATGATTGAGCTTTCAAAAGTGTATTTCACAATAAAACACTGCAAAAGTATATAATATTCCTGAATTTTCTTTCTCAGGCACTGAAGCAACTGAGGACCTCAGAATTTAAACCCTATATTATATTCGTAAAGCCTGCAATTCAGGAAAAAAGAAAGACGCCACCTATGTCCCCAGCTTGTGAGGACACGGCAGCCCCACTTGTAAGTTTAAAGTTGATTGTTTCTTTTCTGAAGGCCTAATGGAGGCTGTGGTTACAGGAACACTTCTAGCTGCGTAAGGGTGCTTACAGCTGAAGAGGGACACAGGACGTACCCTCTGCACACGATTCTTTCCATTTTGCCTATTGAAAGACTTAGAGAAGATGATCACATGGCCAGAAGGCCCAAGGTGGACAGCTGGAAGTGCCTTCCAGACCAGGCAGGTGGCTTTGCCTGTGCTCACGCCCCTCCACTCCCTCACATAAGCACCTTTCCCTGAAATATGACACCTCAGGGACCTCATCTGAGTGTGACCAGACTGCACTCATAAAGCTACATGCCTAGACTAAACTCAAGTTTTTGGTTTTTTTTTTTTCTTTTTTGAGATGGAGTCTCAAACTGTCACCCAGGCTGGAGTACAACGGCGACATCCCGGCTCACTGCAACCTCCACCTCCTGGGTTCATGCAATTCTCCTGCCTCAGGCTCCTGAGTAGCTGGGATTACAGGCACCCACCACCACACCTGGCTAATTTTTTTGTGTTTTTAATTGAGATGGGGTTTCACTATGTTAGACTGGTCTCGAACTCCTGACCTCGTGATCCGCCTGCCTCGGCCACCCAAAGTGCTGGGATTACAGGCGTGAGCCACCGTGCTCAGCCCAAACCCAGGTATTTTTAATTGAAACCCCAACTAACAAGGTCATTATCATTGCTTTCAAACCAGTTTGAATCATCAGTGAGTGAAGGGATTTCTAAAACTAGCGGATGAGATGATCTGATGTGTCCTAAGTGAACTTCTGTTTCGCTGTCACAGATTCTTTGTTCAGCCCAGTCTATGCCAGGCTGGTGGGACCCTCACCCGTAGCCTAAATATTTGATAGGCTTCTTCCAGGAGGTCTGGGCTTGGTGACTCATCTTTTTTGGTCCTTAACAAGGTCAGTTAGCAGAATGAGCTGGAAGTTATGCATGGTGGGGGTAGTCAGAAACAACTAAGTCCCAGAGTAGGCTTTGCCTGCTGTCCTGTACAGCTGGTTCCTTGGAAGGAGGCCCTCTCAGATCCTTCCCCCTGGTCAGGAAGCTCCCGCCAAGTCAAGATTTTGTTGCAATCCTAGTTCATACTAATTCTGTTTTAACTGTCCAGATTGATAAATTTTTTATTTTATATTTTATTTTTAAAGACAGGGTCTCACTATGTTGTCTAGGCTGGTCTCGAACTCCTGGTCCAAGTGATCCTCCCACCTTGGCCTCCCAAAGTGCTGAGATTACAGGTGTGAGCCACTATGCCCAGGCTTTTATTTTTTTTAGGACAGGGTCTTGCCGTGTCGCCCAGGCTGGAGTGTAATGGTGCAATCATAGCTCACTGCAGCCTTGAACTGCTGGGCTCATGCAGTCCTCCTTCCTCAGCTTCCTAAGCAGCTGGGACTACAGGCATGTACCACCAATACCCAGCCAATTAAAAAAAAATTTTTTTTAAATAGAGACAGGCTGTCTCTATGCTGCCCAGACTGGTTTCAAACTCCTGGCCTCAAGTGATCCTCCTGCCTTAGTTTCCCCAAATGTTCCGAATTACAGATGTGAGCCACCATGCCTGGTTTCAATAAGTGATTTAGAATGGCATACATACAAGCAACATTAGAAATTCTGTCCTTGGCCAGGCACGCTGGCTCATGCCTATATCTCAGCACTTTGGGAGGCTGAGGCAGGCAGATTGCTTGAGCCCAGGAATTCAAGACCAGCCTGGGCAACTTGGTAAAACCCTGTCTCTACAAAAAAATCACAAAAATTAGCCAGGTATGGTGGCACACACCTGGCTAATTTTTAGGATCACTTGAGCCTAATAGGTCAAGGCTGCAGTGAACCATGACCATGCCACTGCACTCCAGCCTGGGTGACACAGTGAGACTCTGTCTCCAAAAAAATAAAAAATAGAAAAAAGAAAAAAAAATTTTTTTTATCTTTTAAGTGGGTAGGCCAGCCATGGTGGCTCACGCCTATAATCCCAGTACTTTGGGAGGTCAAGGCAGCCAGATCACCTGAGGTCAGGAGTTCAAGACCAGCCTGGCCAACCTGGTGAAACCCTATCTCTGCTAAAAATACAAAAATTAGCCAGGTGTGGTGGCGCGCCTGTAATCCCAGCTACTCCAGAGGCTGAGACAAGAGAATTGCTTGAACCCAGGAGGCAGAGGCTGCAGTGAGCTGAAATCGTGCCACTGCAGTGTCTAGCCTGGGTGACAGAGCAAGACTCCATTTCAAAAAAAAGAAACTCAAAGGGGAATATCAACTTAGGTATAGAATCATTTAGAAACATACAGTATTGGCCGGGTGCAGTGGCTCACGCCTGTATTCCCAGCACTTTGGGAGGCTGAGGCAGGTGGATCACCTGAGGTCAGGAGTTTGAGACCAGCTTGACCGAAATGATAAAACCCCATCTCTACTAAATAGAAAAAATTAGCTGGGTCTGGTGGTATACACCTGTAATTCCAGCTACTCAGGAGGCTGAGGCAGGAGAATTGCTTGAACCTGGGAGATGGAGGTTGCAGTGAGCCGAGATCATGCCATTGCACTCCAACCGGGACAACAAGAGTGAAACTCCATCTCGAAAGAAAGAAATAAACATTCAGTATGGTTATCATGGTGGTTGATGGTGATAGCTATAACCAGAAAATCAGAAACAACCCAAATGTTGAGTAGCAGAACTCAGTTCGATATACTACATTACATGCCACTTACAGGATGTATTGAAATAGCCAGTTAAAAGCCATGTTTTGGGGCTAGGTATGGTGGCTCACATCTGTAATCCCAGCACTTTGGGAGGCCGAGGTGGGCAGATCACCTAAGGTCAGAAGTTCGAGACCAGCCTGGCCAACATGGCAAAACCCCATCTCTACTAAAAATACAAAAATTAGCTGGGTGTGGTGGTGGATGCCTGTAATCCTAGGTACTTGGGAGGCTGGGGCAGGAAAATCACTTGAACCTGGAAGGCAGAGGTTGCAGTGAGCTGAGATCATGCCACTGCACTCCAGGCTGGGCAACAGAGTGAGACTCCATCTCAAAAAAAAAAAAAAAAAAAAAAACAAATGAAAAATAAATTAAAGGCATGTGTTGGAGGAATATTTGATGACATAGCCAAATACAAGAAAATGAAAATCAGAAAATAAAAAATCAATTCTAATTTTGTGTCACACACAAAGAAAGTACACTAAAATGCTAAAGGCAATTCTCCCTGAATAGTGGGCTCATGACTAATTTTTGTCTTCTGTGTTTTACTGTGTGCTTTTTGGAGGGGAGTTAACAGCTTTATTGAGATAAAATTTACATACCATATAATTCACCCATTTAAAGCATACAATTCAATGATGTCTTCACAGAGTTGTTGCAACTACCACAGTCAATTTAAGAGCATTTTCATGATCTCAAAAAGAAACCTGAGCCCATTAGAATTTCCTATTATCTGTTTGCCTCCCACCCAACCCTAGCCACAGGCAACTGCTAATCTACTACCACTGTAAATTTGTCTATTCTAAACATTTCATATAAATGGATTCATACAATATAAGACCTTTTATATCTGGCTTTTTTCACTTAGTGTTTTTAAGGTTCGTGTATCAATACTTCATTTTTTTTTTTTTTACAGCTGAATAATAATCCATTGTACAGAGTATCACATTTTGTTTATCCATTTATCAATTAATGGGCATTTAGATTAGTTCTTCTTTTTCAGCTATTATGAATCATGGTATGACTATTCATATACAAGTTTTGTGTGAACATATGTTTTCATTTCTCTTGTGTGTATACCTTGGTATGGAATTGCTGGGTCATAGGGTAGCTCTATGTTTAACATCTGGAAGAACGGCCAGATTCTTCCATGGCAGCTGTACCATTTTACATTCTCAGCAGCAGTGTTCAAGTTCCCATTTCTCCACATCCTCACCAGCACTTGACTTTTTTTTTGAGACAGAGTCTCCTTTTGTTGCCCAGGCTGGAGTGTAATGCTGTGATCTCGGCTCACTGCAACCTCCGCCTCCTGAGTTCAAGCAATTCTCCTGCCTCAGCCTCCTGAGTAGCTGGGACTACAGGCGTGTGCCACCACACCTGGCTAACTTCTGTATTTTTAGTAGAGACAGGGTTTCACCATGTTGGTCAGGCTGGTCTCGAACTCCGGACCTTGTGATCTGCCCACCTCGGCCCCGCAAAGTGCTGCGATTACAGGCATGAGCCACCGTGCCTGGCCCTTGTCTGCCTTTTTCATTATAGCACTACTAGTGTATGTGAAGTGGTATCTCATTGTGGTTTTAGTTTGCAGTTCTCTAATGATCAGTGATACTGAGCATATTTTCGTGTTTTTATTGGCCATTTTTATATCTTTCTTAGAGAAATGTCTATTTAAATACTTTGTCCATTTTTTAAATGGGATTTTTTATCTTTTTTATTATTGAGTTATAAGAATTCTTTTTTTTTTTTTTTTTTTGAGACGGAGTTTCGCTCTTGTTACCCAGGCTGGAGTGCAATGGCGCCATCTCGGCTCACCGCAACCTCCGCCTCCTGGGTTCAGGCAATTCTCCTGCCTCAGCCTCCCGAGTAGCTGGGATTACAGGTGCACACCACCATGCCCAGCTAATTTTTTGTATTTTTAGTAGAGACGGGGTTTCACAATGTTGACCAGGATGGTCTCGATCTCTTGACCTCGTGATCCACCCGCCTCGGCCTCCCAAAGTGCTGGGATTACAGGCTTGAGCCACTGCACCTGGCTATAAGAATTCTTTATATATTTTGGATATAAGTCCCTTATCAGATGCATGATTTGCAAATATTTTTTCCCGTTCTGTGAGTTGTCTTTTCATTTTCTTTCTTTTTTATTTTTTAATTTGAGACAGAGTTTCGTTCTTATTCCCCAGGCTGGAGTGCAATGGTGTGGTCTCGGCTCACTGCAACCTCCACCTCCCGGGTTCAGGTGATTTTCCTGCCTCAGCTTCTAAGTAGCTGGGATTACAGGCACGTACCATCACACCCAGCTAATTTTTTTTTTTTTTTTTTTTTGTATTTTTACTAGAGATGGGGTTTCACCATGTTGGCCAGGCTGGTCTCAAACTCCTGACCTTGGGTGATCCACTTGCCTCAGCCTCCCAAAGTGCTGGATTACAGGCATGAGTCCCCATACCTTGCCCTTACTTTTCTTGATAGTATCCTTTGAGGCAGAACATTTTAAAATTTGATAAAGTCCGATATACCTATTTTTTTCTTTTGTTGCTTATTAATTTTGGTATCATATCTAAGAAATCATTGTTAAATTCAAGATCATAAAGATTTACTCCTTTGTTTTCTTTTAAGATCTTTATAGCTGCAACAGTTACATTCGGGTCTATCATCTATTTTGTGTTATTTTCTGTGGATTGTGTGAAGTAGGGGTCCAACTTCATTCTTTAAATGTGAATAGCCAGCTAACGCAGCACCACTGGCTGAAAAGACATTTCTTTTCTCATTTAATTATCTTGACACCCTTGTCTAGAATCAATTGGAAAGAAAAGCAAGGGTTTCTTTTTTTTTGAGACAGAGTTTTGATCTTGTTACCCAGGCTGGAGTGCAATGGCGCGATCTCGGCTCACCACAACCTCCACCTCCTGGGTTCAGGCAATTCTCCTGCCTCAACCTCCTGAGTAGCTGGGATTACAGGCATGCGCCACCATGCCCAGGTAATGTGTTGTATTTTTAGTAGAGATGGGGTTTCACCATGTTGACCAGGATGGTCTTGGTCTCTTGACCTCGTGATCCACCCGCCTTGGCCTCCCAAAGTGCTAGGATTACAGGCTTGAGCCACCGTGCCCAGCCAGGCACTCCATTTTTAACACACAGCCTTTCATGTGGTTTTGATGTACGTTGGCAGACCCCAGATGACATCTGGAGAAATTCCCTACAAATGCTCGAGTTTTGTGTGACATTAAATGTCTGTCCGTTGTTTGGCACCTGGTCGTGGTCCCAAAACACCCTTTGGGTACATTCTCTGTGTGTCCCCTTGCTGACCACAAGTTAACGGGGCTTCTGGCTTCTGAACCAGCAAGCTAATCTAACCTGGGGGTGACGGACAGCATGGGGGGGGCGTCTTTCCTATGTGAGCTTCAGGACCATGACGTTGCTGAAGACACAGGTGGGCGAGTTCCATCTTTACAGGCCAGGAAAGGGGTTCAGGGGATTTATGACTGCAAAGCAGATGTCACACATTTTACCCCATTAGAGATTTACTTATGTTCTTTCCAGATGCAGATGTTGATTAGGAAGATTGTGGTTCTTAGTGGCAAAAATTTTCCTTTTATAATTTATCAAATAGCCAAATGCTTCCAGGATAATCCATGTGGGTACCTGGAGGAGGGGAAACTGGAAGCAGCAGACAGGTCCGTAGGATGGGTGTATGTCAGGGAGTGGGGAAGGTGTTCTTGTGTACATGATTGGTTATCAGTGGGATTTCAAGGTGGGGTTGAAGAGCCAGGGGGCAGTTATGGGACAGTGTGAAGCACTTCTGAGTATGAAAGTAACCGTGCAAGAATATTCTGTATAGAATTGGGAAGTATCTCCCAATTTAATCCAGTCTTTTCTCTCCTAGAGGAGAGAAGGAGACGTTATCTCAGCCTTCTCTTACATTTCTACTATCTTTGAAGTCACGATCTTGAGGACTCAAATCCTGAAATTTCACATGATTTTACTAAAGTGGGAATTGGGTTTTGACTGGCGACAGAGAGAAGGGGGGAATATTTTGGAATGTAGATCTCTTTGGGAAAGAACAGAATTCACCCTTTCCCTGTGGCAGCGTGAAAACATGGAGCCCCTAGAAGCAGAGGGGAGAAGGCAGCAGAGGACTAGAAAGGGAAGTGGGTGGATGCCAGTGACAAATCTCATTTTATAATTTTATTTAGAATGGACCTGCCACTTTCCTGTTTTCCAAAACCAGGCGAATTGTCAGACAACTACTCACCTGAAATAATACGTATTAGAGGTTCTTTTGAATGAAGAAGCAAACAGTGCCCACATGGGGTGATGGAGTTGTTGCCTATACCTTAATGTTAGGTGTCAGGAAAGCAATCTCATTAAAGGGATCAGCTGCCCTAAGGACATGGGGAATTTGATTAGAATTGTCCAGGGCTTTCTTAAATAACTCCACTTTGCTATGCTAGTGTTTAGCTCTGGTGTGAGGCAATGAAAAATTGAGTTCTACACTATGAATTTAGGAGTCTTCAGGAGGGCATTAGAATGATTTCTTTTTCCCCCAGTTGATTGAAGAAATGCTTGCTCTGTTTTTATGCAGTTAATATTTGTGGTTCTTTCTTATAATTATTTAATCTGTATACTAATTGCCATGCAGCACAATACTACTACTTTGGAAGTATGTCTGAGGCAGGAAGTGTGATATTGACATATATACACAGTTACAGAATCAGCATCCCCAGTGCACTTCCTACCATGGCTTTCAGCTCATAGGTCCTCAGGAGGTATTCTGTGAGTGATGACTGAACAGTGATTGTGTCTACTGCCCGTTAAGTTTGACACAATGGTGTCCCTATGCTCTGGTCTTGTGTGCATGGTTGGTTATCAGTGGGACCTAGTCATCCACTCATCACTTGGAGCCAGGCGTGGTGGCTCACACCTGTAATCCCAGCACTTTGGGAAGTTGAGGCAGGTGGATCACGAGGTCAGGAGTTCAAGACCAGCCTGGCCAAGATGGTGAAACCCCTTCTCTAATAAAAATACAAAAATTAGCTGGGCGTGGTGGCGGGCACCTGTAATCCCAGCTACTTGGGAGGCTGAGGTAGGAGAATTGCTTGAACCCGGGTGGCAGAGGTTGCAGTGAGCTGAGATCATGCCACTGCACTCCAGCCTGGGTGATAGAGACTCTGTTTCAAAAAAAAAAAAAAAAAGAAAAAAAGAAAAAGAAAAAGTTAGAGGTTGGAACATTGCTCAAGACAAAGGCTATAGATTTGTTATAGGAGAACAACCCAGTTGCTCCATACCACCCCTTTCCTTGCAGGATGAGCAGCAGCAAGAGATGGCCGCTTCTGCCGCCTTCATAGACCAGCATTACGGGCACCTGGTGGACGCCGTGCTGGTGAAGGAGGATCTCCAGGGTGCCTACAGCCAGCTCATAGTGGTCTTAGAGAAGCTGAGCAAGGACACTCACTGGGTACCTGTTAGTTGGGTCAGGTAACTTTATCCTGGAACATCCAAGCTGGACGGGACCTTGAAGATCATCTAGTCCAGCCTCCTTCATTTTACCATCAAGGAATCTCGAGTGCAGAGAGGGGCAGGATTCTCCACAAATTCCATCATTGATAAGAGCATAAGTGGGAAGTCTTGTTTGTTGTTGGTTTTTGTCTGTTGTTTTTCACTGCACCTCTTTGGATCATGATTTGAAAGGGGCTCTCAGAAAACACATTTCACTCATTAAAGTATCACAGGCAAGCTGACCCTGATTCTTTGTACCAAAGTTAAGTAGCCACTGTCTTTTGCAGGCGGTAGTGGTTAATTTATATAGCACTGATTTGCAGAATGTTTAAGCTTTTAAACATAGTGACACTTAGTAGTTTTTTTGGAAGCTAATTTGTTTTATCTAAGGGGATTTTCCATGTGACTGAAGTTCCCCTGTCTTCAAGCACTAAAATGTTGATCTTAACCTTTTTTGAAGTGCTTGCCTGATAGTAGAAAACTGGTTGGTTCTCTGCCTGTATACTGAGTATATGAGAATTTTCTCTGGAAGGCTGAGGCACACTTCACCATCAACATGAATTACTGTACTATTCTATACTGCAGTGGTGCCTTCATGGACTCGAGGAATGGTTGCCTTTCCCCTTGTTTTTCTTTTTTTGTTGTTGTTTTTGAGATGGAGTCTTGCTCTGTCACGCAGGCTGGAGTGCAGTGGCGCGATCTTGGCTCACTGCAACCTCCGCCTCCTGGATTCAAGTGATTCTCCTGCTTCAGCCTTTTGAGTAGCTGGGATTATAGGTGCATGCCACCACATCCAGCTAATTTTTTTATTTTTATTTTTAGGAGAGACAGGTTTCACCATATTGGTCAGGCTGGTCTCGAACTCCTGACCTCGTGATCCACCCACTTCAGCCTCCCAAAGTGCTGGGATTACAGGCGTGAGCCACTGCACCCGGCCTGCCTTTCTCCTTTCTAAATACCCTCAGATTCCTAACATCGAGCCCTTGCTTTGTTGGATTTATTTTATTCCGTCCATTGTCCTTTTTGTTACCGACAGTTGCATGGTCCTAGCCTGTCTCTGCCATGAGGTCATAGGGGTTCCTGTTGAGCTAGATCTTGGGAAACCAGATGACTCTCCCTGTCAAAGCTATGGCTACACCACCATAAACCATTTCTGGCCTAATGGGTTGTCTCTGAGCAAAAATGATTGTCACCTAGGATTCTTGATATATCTTAGCAGCTCAGAGAAGGTTATTTACTATTAATAGCCAACAACAGTATTTATTCTGTGCTGGATGCTCTGCTAAGGCCTTTACATACATTACCCTGATAAATACACCAAGCCAGTGAGGTAGGATTCTTATCCCATTGTACAAATGAGAAAAATTTAAAGCTTAGGCAGTTTAAATAATGTACCCATGCTTGCACAGATTAAAAAAAATTGCAAGCCAGGCACCGTGGTGCATGCCTGTAATCCTAGCACTTTGGGAGGCCAAGGTGGGCAGATCACTAGAGCTCAGGAGTTCGAGACCAGTCTGGGCAACGTGTCAAAACCCCATTTCTACAAAAAATACAAAAACTAGCCAGGTGTGGTGGTGTGCGCCTGTAGTCCCAGCTACTCGGGAGGCTGAGGTGGGAGGATCCAGGTGGTCAAGGCTGCAGCGAGCCATGATTGTGCCACTGCATTCTAGCCTGAGTGACAGAGTAAGACCCTGCCTCAAAAATAAAATAAAATGCAGAACTATGGTATTTAAGCCTATATCTTCCAAATACCAGAGATGATCATTAAGCACCATACTATACTATACTACCTCATTCTTTTGTGGTCTCATAATCGAGGCTGCCCATGAATATGATTCACTTATAAGTGATGAATGTGTTCACAGCTAGAGTTTCTAATATGAAGTGAGGCCATAACTTTTAAGACTGAAAAGAGGCTACATACACATGTGTACATTTTCAGGTTCTTTTATTCATGAGAGGAAAAGGCGGCCAGGCCAAAGGTGAAGCACCAGGGAGGTTTGCCACCCATTTAGAAATTTCCATTTTACCTTCCTACACAAGGATGCCTTTGCAACTCTCTAGCTCATGAACCTGGTAGGTTCACCTAACAGGATCACATTCTTCAGAACTTTCTAGCAAAAAGATGGAGAGTACTGGATTCTTATTAAGTGAAACTGGTTTGAGCTGATCCACAGAGAGCTAGGCCAGGGAGGGCAGCTGCCCCTGAAGTGAGACTAGCACATGCAAAGTTGTGATGCAGGATAGCGCCTGTAATCCCAGCACTTTGGGAGGCCGAGGCGGGCGGATCACCTTTGAGACCAGCCTGGCCAACATGGTAAAACCCCGACTCTCCTAAAAATGAAAATAAAAAATTAGCCAGGCATGGTGGAAGGTGCCTGTAATCCCAGCTGCTTGGGAGGCTGAGGCAGGAGAATCACTTAAACCTGGGAGGCAGAGGTGGTAGTAAGCCAAGATCACACTACCACACTCCAGCCTGGGCGACAAGTGAGACTGTTTCAAAACAAAAAGGTGGTTATGCAGGAGAGCTGGGATCTGAAGTCTGCTCACAGGCAAAAACAAAAACCCACATACATTAAAAATTACTCTTCAAGACCCCCTGGGGAGGCACCATGGTGGAGATCCCAGTCAACTCTCCAAGTTCCCTCTAGGTGGTTTTCCCTCCAGTGTGGGAACAGAGTGGTTGGGCACACGATGACATTCTTTCTGCATTTTATGCCCCTCCACAGACATTTTCTGCTGCTTACATAATTTTACACAATTGTCAGATGAAACGATGGTATTGTCTTTATATGTATTATGAAGCAGAGTATTAAAAAGGGATCCTTCGCTAAGTGTGGTGACACACCTGTAATCCCAGCATTTTGGGAGGCCGAGACAGGAGGATCACTTGGGCTCAGGAGTTAGAGACTAGCCTAGGCAAGAGTGAGACATTGTCTCTATTCAACATAAAATTAGGGCTGGGAGCAGTGGCTCATGCCTGTAATCCCAGCACTTTGGGAGGCCAAGGCAGGTGGATCACTTGAGGCCGGAAGTTCAAGACCAGTCTGGCCAATATGGCAAAACCCTGTCTCTACTAAAAATACAAAAATTAGCCGGGTGTGGTGGTACACGCCTATATTCCCAGCTACTCGGGAGGCTGAGGCATGAGAATCACTTGAACCTGGGAGGCAGAGGTTGCAGTGAGCCAAGATTGTGCCACTGCACCACTCCAGCCTGGGCAACAGAGCAAGACTGTCATAAATAAATTAAATAAAAATAGATGGGTTGCAGTGGCTCACCCTGTAATCCCAGCACTTTGGGAGGCCGAGGCGGGCGGATCACGAGGTCAAGAGATTGAGACCATCCTGTCCAACATGGTGAAAGCTCATCTCTACTAAAGATACAAAAATTAGCCAGGCATGGTGGTGCACGCCTGTAGTCCCAGCTACTTGGGAGGCTGAGGCAGGAGAATTACTTGAATCTGGGAGGCGGAGGTTGCAGTGAACCAAGATCACACCACTGCACTTCAGCCTGGTGACAGAGTGAGACTGCGTCTCAAAAAATAACGATAAAAATTTTAAAATTAGCTGGGTGTGGTGGCATGCCCCTGTGGTCCCAGCTACTCGGGAAGCTGAAGTGGGAGAACTGCTTGAGCCGAGGAAGGTGGAGGCTGCGGTGAGCTCTGATAGCCCCACTGCACTCCAGCCTGAGCAACAGATTGAGACCCTGTCTCAAAAAACAAAAAAGAGTGATCCTTTATTTCCTGTTAAGGCAGCACCCCCACCCTCAAGACAAGCTGTGTCTACAGCTGTTCGTCAGCTACCAGATTTATGGGAGTAGGAAGGGAGGGCCCCAGAGACAGAGGTTATTTGGAAGGCGCTTTTGCAGTTCATGCAGAAAACTATTGCTAAAAAATGCACCTGTGTTCAAATATTTATTGGTGGAATGTGTGTAAATGCAATTCCAAACCCCATTTCAACTAGCAGTCCATATGTTCTGAGTCCCTGGGCAAAATTTTGGAAAAAGTCCATCACTCTGGGCCCAACACTAATAAATCTCCTTATTACAACCCCCTCAAGACAGACCTTTTTAAATCCTTGGGTCTTCAAACATAGAGAAGTTGGCTGCCTGTATCTACAACCAGAGAGGATGTGCTCTCTGGAGGAATTTTCTAGGTCAGACCTGTTAAATAGATGGCATATGTGCAGCCAACACCCATTCCTGCACCTGTGGAAGACATTACTAATTGATCACAGCTCTCTCCTATTGTGATCACAGCACTCTTCTATTGACTTTAGATTCAATTAGTAATGTCTTTGGCTCTTTCAGGACAGTGTTTGGTATCAGCTGGGCAGAATTAGGTAGTGAGTTATTCCTGTTTGCCATTTTCAAACCACCGATTTGTAACCTTCCCGGCTATCCACTTCACTCCCCTAGGAAGATGGGTTTAAGAAAGTTAGAACCATCTGTCATTTACAGGCAGTGCTCAGATATATTAGCCAATTGTATATTCAAATACATGCTTTAAAACATGTGGCCAATGAAATTGTGTATCCACTTATCCAGCATCACATTATTTATGCTACCAATCGCAGGACCATGCATCCAGACAATGATAACACTTGATTTCTTTATTAACTGCAGAGTTCAGCATATGCACAAAGCCCATTTTTAGTCAGATAGTTAAGAACCAGTAAGTAGCATTTCTCTATTTGGTGGAGTTAATACTGATCGGTTTCTTTCTTTCTTTTTTTGAGATGGAGTCTCACTCTGTCGCCCAGGCTCGGGTGCAATGGCGCGATCTCAGCTCACTACAGCCTCCGCCTCCTGGGTTCAAGTGATTCTCCTGCCTCAGCTTCCTGAGTAGCTGGGATTACAGGCGCCCGCCACCATGCCCAGCTAATTTTTGTATTTTTAGCAGAGACAGGGTTTTACCATGTTGGTCAGGCTGGTATTGAACTCCTGACTTCAAGCAATCCACCTGACTTGGCTTCCCAAAGCGCTGGGATTACAGGTGTGAGCCATCACGCCCGGCCACTGATCAGTTTCTTACTCCATTTTTCCTGCCTTTTGAATACAGTCACCAACCACCGCTTGCTTCCCTTAAAAGTCAAGGGCTTATGGTTTCAGAACAAGATGGTATATAATCACTTGTTCCTCCTCTTCTCCTCTAAATACAACAAAATGCCTTGGAAAGTAGTCAACGGACTACGATAAAAGGACTCTGAAAGCTGGAAAGAAGATGATGAGCTTACTAGGGACGTCAGGGCTCGAGGAA